TATTTTCTGTGAGGGTGGTGAGACAATGGTACAGGTTGCTCAGAGAAACTCTAGATGCCCCATCTCTGAAAGTGTTCAAGGCCAGATTGGATGGGGCTCTCAGCAACCTGGTGTAGTGGAAGGTGCCCTGGCCCATGGAGTGAGTTTGGACTAGATGATGTTTAAGGTCCCTTCAACACAAGCCATTCTATGATTCTATGAAGTGTTACATTGCTAAAAAAGGACAAGGAGGAAAAAAAACCCCAAACAGGTGACCTCTTAAACCATTTTAACTGAAAGTAAAGCAAAAATCTGAACAGGAAGGCCCCTGATTGAGTTGCAGGAGCAGCATAAGGCAGCAGTGCCTGATCTGAGTCCCTTGAAGCTGCAGCTCTGCCAGAGCTCTCTGGCTGGCACCCACTCCTTGGCCTCAGCACTCATGCCCTGCCAAGGTCTAAGATGCTTCTGCCCACTTTTACCTGCTGTTGCAGGCCCTTGGCGCCATCTTTCTCCCCACCCATGGTGCTCCCAGAGACTGTGGGCTGCCCCATACACAGCCACAGCTTGCCCCACTGAGCCCTGCAGTGGAGGGCATCCCAAAGGCAGTGAATCTTTTCTGAGCAGCTTTTGCACAGCTCACTCTTTTCACTCTTGAGTGTTGGTGTGTATGTATAACAGGAGGTTGATACTTCAAAAGAACAAGCCACTCTGTATTTTTCTTTCCCTTATGACAAGCCTGCAATGGTAGCCAGGGTTTTGGAAGTGATGGCTGTCACATTTGACAATGTGACTGTTATTTGGCATGTTTTGATTTGTTTAATGCTGCTACAGCACTATGGTAGTGAGTGATCCTTTGCGCACATCCACGGACCTTAGGCAGAAGCAAAAGTAACACAAAACATTGTTCAAATATTGCATTTAGTGCCAATTCTCCTCCCCTCCTACCACCCCAATCAGAAAGTCAAACCCAGGGAAGCTTAGAGAAAAAGGAGGTGTGTTTTTTTTTTTTTTTTTTTTTGAGGGAAGGGTGAAGGTGTCTTTTTAAATGGACATATTTGTTATGGAAGATGTTAGGCTTCATATGGTAGATTTTTTTTTCCTCTCTCTCAGTGGATGACAGGTAATAACTGATTGTGTCTGTACACAATACCCTGAATTCTCTGCCAGAAATTTTCTGTTCAGTGTTGATGTTATTAAACAAATTACTGTCATCACATGTTTAGTTATCAACATTTTCTGCCTATGTAACATTAATGTAAAATAAATTATGTAAAAATCAACCCCCATAGCCAATGGGCTATTTATAAATGAAAAGACTTATGTGAGTTACTAATTTAATTGAATTTGTGAAAAATAGTGAATCAGCAAGCCATTGCTATTTTCCTTTCCTAGGTTTAGTGGCAAGTTTCAGATTTTACCCATTTGGAAAAGAAAGGTATTTCAGTGTCTGAAACTGCTCATCCGACCACTGATATTAACTGCAACAATCAGTCACTGTGAGTGCTTTTTATCTATGTCACTCTCTGAAAGTAGTGAAAATAAAAGTGCAGAGAGGCAAAGGTTCTATAGTAAATTTTGACAGACAGGTACCAGGAAATAACTTGCTTTTTTTCTCCTGCTAGCTATTAGAAAGTTGCAGCCTTTGATATGCTGGTAGGAGTGACCTTGATGTGCACATCACATCAAGGTCATGAGAAGACTGCACCAGTTCTTCACCTGTTATCACTTTGGGCCTGTTGAAGCTGATGGAAATCTTTCCAGGGATTTCTGTGGGCTTTAAAATTAGGTGTAAGCTAAACATTTACATGTTGGGATCAGACCCAGACAGCATGGGTTTAGGAGGGGCAGGTCCTGTCTGACCAACCTGATCTCTTTTTATGATCAGGTGACCCACCTGGTGGATGAGGGAAAGGCTGTGGATGTGTCTATCTGGACTTTGCAAAGCCTTTGACACCATCTCCCACAGCATACTCCTGGAAAAGCTGGCAGCCCATGGCTTGGACAGGGGCACTCTCTGCTGGGTCAGGAACTGGCTGGAGGGCCGGGCCCAGAGAGTGCTGGTGAACGGGGCTGCATCCAGCTGGGGGCCGGTCACCAGTGGTGTCCCCCAGGAATCAGTGCTGGGCCCAGTCCTGTTAAACATCTTTATCAATGATTTAGATGAGGGGACTGAGTCCGCCACTGGTAAATTTGCTGATGACACCAAGTTGGGAGGGAGTGTTGACCTGCCGGAAGGCAGGAGGGCTCTGCAGAGGGACCTGGACAGACTGGAGAGCTGGGCTGACTCCAATGGAATGAAGTTCAACAAGGCCAAGTGCCGGGTCCTGCACTTTGGCCACAACAACCCCTGCAGCGCTACAGGCTGGGCACAGAGTGGCTGGAGAGCAGCCAGGTGGAAAGGGACCTGGGAGTTTGGATTGACAGGAGGCTGAACATGAGCCAGCAGTGTGCCCAGGTGGCCAAGAAGGCCAATGGCATCCTGGCCTGGATCAGGAACAGTGTGGCAACAGGAGCAGGGAAGTGATCCTTCCCCTGTACTCAGCGCTGGTGAGGCCACACCTGGAGTGCTGTGTCCAGTTCTGGGCCCCTCAGTTCAGGAAGGACATTGAGGTGCTGGAGCAGGTCCAGAGAAGAGCAATGAGGCTGGTGAAGGGACTTGAACACAAGCCCCATGAGGAGAGGCTGAGGGAGTTGGGGTTGTTTAACCTGGAGAAGAGAAGGCTCAGGGGTGACCTCATCACTCTCTTCAACTCCCTGAGAGGAGGTTGTAGCCAGGTGGGGGTTGGTCTCTTCTCCCAGGCAAAGACAAGAGGGCACAGTCTTAAGCTCTGCCAGGGGAGGTTTAGGTTGGATATTAGGAAGAAATTCTTTACAGAGAGGGTAATCAGGCATTGGAATGGGCTGCCCAGGGAACTGGTGGATTCTTCGTCCCTGGAGGTTTTTAAGAGACTGGATGTGGCACTGAGTGCCATGGTCTAGTAATGACGATGGTAGTGGATCAAGGGTTGGACTTGATGATCTCACAGGTCCTTTCCAACCCATCTGATTCTATGATTCGATGTTGCAAGAGTTTAGCATGCACTTTCTTCTGGCAAAGCAATACAAATGCTCACAGAGAAAGGAAACTGCTTTTAAAATTGCATTAAAAATACTACAGTGAGTTTGATTGAGAATTAGGTTTAAGAATAATGCATTGACATGGTGTCTTCCTAGAGTACTGTACCCAACTAGGACTACTACACATGCATGCGCCTTGCTGGACTTGCAGAGGACTGTGGGGTGCCACTCTTTTGACCAATGTGTCCCAGTTGAGATGGTGCAAAACCCAGGGGGAGCATTGGTGGGGAAGAACTTGAAATGCTTGTATTATATGGAGCTGTTTGGTTTGGCCCTCACAATAGTGGAACATGAGTTAGAAGCAAGTGGTCCTAACCCAGGTTATGAAAAGATGTGCAATAGTCATGGCTTTTCTCACTTGTCTTTTAGGACAGCCTGGAAGGTGAGAATGCCCGTCTCATTACAGGTATCAGTGGCAGCCTTCAATCTCCTTGCCTGGAGATGAAAATCAAATCTCTCAGCCCAAATGTCTGAAAGTGGCTTTAGGCTACTCTTTAAAAACTGTCTAGTTCTCTGGAAAAGAACCAGGACCTCACAGTTCTTCAGCAGATGTTGGTGCCCGTCTGTCCTCCATGGAAAATGCTGGGCTTCAAACTGGAAGTGGCTGCAGCTGCTCGACAGCCCAGCTTTGGCCATGGTAGCATTCAGCACGAGTGGCCATCAGACACTCACCTGTACCACGTATAACCCAGCTGAGAGTAAAGGGCCTGGCAAGCAGGGTCCTTGATGGGATTGCCCCCATGTTCGCCATGCCTGTGTATCTGTTTGGGGGACCACACTCTGCCCCTGAGGATGACAGGGCAAGGGGGCAGGTTTGCAAAAAGTGTTGTTTTGACCCAGTCTGAAAGGCTTGAACCTAAAGTTTTCTGTCAAGAGTCTCATCCCTCCCTCCTCTCTTTCACAGCAGTAAGAAGTCTCCGCCCACATGCTCAACATCTGCTGTCTGAAGCTGGAAGTTCCTGACACTGACCTGTGACTTCCCTATGCTGCCCCCTCCCACTTTTCTTGCATAAAGCTTCTTCTGCATCACATTGCTTCTATGAAATGTTCATTTCATGAACTTGTTGGTAATATTTGATGATCTTGGTGCATAAAATCTCTTGTTGGGTCCATTCCACTGTTTGTAATTTTGGGTGTACATCACTCTTCATGCACAAACTCCAAGTATTTTTATGCCCTTTGTTTCCTCCTTCCACTTTGGATTGCTATACCCATCTCTCCTGCTTCTCCCCATAATGCAAACAATACATTAAACTCATCTCTGCCTGCCTGCAGGCAGGAGAGGATGAGTAACAGTGATGGAGGAGCTGAGGAAGCCTCCCTTACAGTGCACTGGCTTGCACAGTCTGTGCTGTGCCAAGATATAAAAATTTAAGTGAGCATTTCTGATTTGAGTTGTAAGTCTCCCTGGCAAGATGCTTCTACAGGAAACAATTATTCCTGAGCCTTTACATGCACTGCATGCTGGGATTCCCAGCAATGCACAAGTAAATCAATGTTTCGCTCTTCGTTTCTTGGCTGTGGTCTACGTAACCTGTGGCCAAGATCATATTTTTTACAGCATGTTCCTAACCAGTGGCACGAGCCTTGAGGTTTTCAGGGTTTTTTCACAAGTGTAGATAAACTCTCTGCAAGTGGTGGCAGCTGAGCTCTTGCAGCCATAATTAGGGGTGAGCTGGGTGTTCTCAAAAATACCTTTCCCCTTGGCTGGCTGTTGTAGAGTAGGTTGTGGTCATCAACCTGGTGGAGAGGGAGGGGGCAGCGAAGGACTTGAGAGCTGAAAGTAAGCTATCTGATTAATATTTAAAACACATAAATGGCAAGGATTTGTTTGCTGGGTGAAGCTAGGCATCAATCTATGGAATCAACTTCTGAGTTTAAACATAGTGCACTATGACCAGCGATTCTCCACAATACAGTAGGATTTATTAATAGAAAATACGTCAATATGAGTTTGTCTTTGTACATGTTAGCAACATGTACAGTGAAACACATTTTTTTCTCAATCTATATTATTATAGTTCTTTTGTGTTATCTGACATAACCATTTTTATTTTGGGCTTAAATATGTTACTTGTCAAAATGTACTTTCAGTGTTAATATACCTTTAAAATCATAGTTCATCTTTTAAATATTGAATTCTTTTTTTTTTCTTCAAATTAATATTGCTCATGTTAGTGCAAATTTGTTAATCTTGAGATAGGTTAACCATTCCTTCCAGACCATAAACAGCATTTAATAAAACAGTGAGATTTATATAGCTCTACACAGCTGAACAAGATTCTAATACGAAGCTTGTTAAAAAAAAAAATCCAACATTTTACAGTACATCAATTGCATTTTATACATTTTTTTGGGAACAGTTTTGTTTCTTCTCTATTTCTGTGTGTGATCTAGTACAAGAATGAAGGGAACAGCAATAGATAATGATACTTTCCTCAATATTAAAAAGAATGCATCATTTATATCTTGCTCAGTATGGCTGTAGTGTTGGATTTCCAAGCCTGGAAAAGAAGCCAGGTAATTCAACACCTTCTCAAAACTCAGTACAGCAAGAATGAATGTTATCAGTCTGAGCACTTGCCACTACAAAAGAATGGAAACAAACCAACACAAAGTATAGACAAAAGGTATTTTATGCCACGTCATCGATCCAGAATCTCTCACTTGAGCAATGGTCAACATTTGACTCCAAGTAATTCCTAAGAGGAGCTGAAAGAGGGCAATGTGGGCATTTCAGTAGTTTGAAGAATGGATATATATTCAACTTACAATAACCTCCCGTCCTAAGAACTTCAAACAGAACAATGCATCCCCTTAGCCTGTTGGCAAACCTGTGCCTGGAGAACTGTACCAGCCTGGTGTTTATCAGGCAGTCAAGAAGAACTTCCAGTTGCGAGTGACATTCTTTATTAAAAAAAAGTTTTTATACTGAAAATGTGCTTTGTTCAAAAGAGCACTGCAAATGTCACCTATTAAAATCAATGTAATAAATAAAATATAAACAACCTGTGTCCAAAACTATGAATAGTATTTTTATCTACCTCACTATACATCTGGCCCACTGTGCCCCTCCCACCCACCCTTTCTTAAATTTTTTAAAAATTTTTTTGCATGCGATTTTTTTCCCTCTGTTTACTACAAAGAGCAAAGGTTACATATCGTACACTGGGAAAAGCTGCCAAAAAGATTAAACTATAGTCCTAGATTACTGATAAATCATTTCTACATCACAATACCCGCCTGCATGAACTACTCGGGCTGCATCCTATAGAGCGAGAGACTTCTCCCCCTGTGCACAGCCAGAAGTGTGCCAGGTGATGTTAAGACTATTACAATGAGTAATCACAGAAATGTTTGCAACCTAAAACAAATTCCTTATTTGTAATTTAAGCAATTAAAAACTACTCCATTTGTGGTGGGTCTTACACTCTGAAAACTGTATGCTGAACTGTTGTCTGAATCACAGAAATTAGAAAATGCTTGATTCTTTTCTTTCCTTTCAAAATCACAAGAGCTAAAATGAATATGCTGGTTCTTCTGGCCTCCTAGCCTAGATAGCTTTTCTTTTCTTTTTAAATGAAATTAAAAACATTCTGTCCCTTACATTTTTTAGAATTTTACTTTAAATGCACAGAAATGGTCTTTATTTCAGTATTTGAGGAATGTGTTCTGGGTATTGGATTTTCTTTTTGGTATGGGTTAAAATAAATGATTGTCCTAATGGTTCAGGAATTGGACCCTTCTGTAGTCTAAAGAGTTTGAGAAGTCCAGACTTGAGTCTGTTTGGTCTTTGTTTTTCATTCCCTCAGGGAAATGGCAAGATCAAACTCTGCCTTCCTTGAGCACTTACTGGTTGGTGGCTGGAGAGTCATGAAATTTCATCAAGAGAAGATCAAGAGATGCTATTTTAATGAAAATGGCTCCTAGGGGTGACGAAGTCAGTGAAAAAAAATTGGTTACTCTGTCTTTTGTGAGCATGTGGTCTAACAGTGTTGAATCGCTATCAATGGTTACAAAAGCGAGTAAGGGAAAGCACATACTGGAGTTTCCACTGTTTAAAAGAACTGAAAGTCAAACAAAAATTGAAGCTTAACAAGGATAACATTGGATGGAAGGAAGTCTTACGCCACGCAAACACACACTCAAATACACGCACACAGAATACTATGCATACGTGGACACACACAAGTAAGAATGTGTATTTGTATGGTAGGTTCTTGGAAATAGACATTCTTAGCAAATATGGATGACAGATCAATTGTAATTTATTTTCTTTTAACACTGTATCATCATAAAGAAAACTGGTATAAATGAAAAAAATCTATTTCAAATATCTACATCTAAAATTTTAGGCAGTGAAAAAGCACTTTGTTGACAAGGAGTGTGGAATGATGAATGTTAATTGTCAGAAATTGCTGAATGCCTTTTTTTTTAGTTGCCACAAACAAATTCACATATCAGAACAAACAATACTGCTAAATATTCCTTTTTGTTTTTTGACTTTTTTTTTTTTGATTTTTTTTTTTGTTAAAACGCACCGGGGAAAAGAAAACAAAAAACTGGAAATTCATACATCTTTCAAAATTTGAAATTGAAGCAATATTTAGAACCATAGATGAAGAAACACTGTGGCATTGGTGTAATATACACAATGCACCTCTTTTTTATCTGTAATGTACATCAAATACTTTACAACAATGCATTAACAAAAGGCAAGAAATATCTTGCTGTACAGAGGAAACCCCAAATGCAACTTGAAGCCTAGATTCACAATGAATGAGGATATTAAACAAAGTGTGAGAAGCTGTTCCCCATAAAGTACATATGCTGCTCAGTAACTTGTGCTTAACTCTTGACCCACATCCACTGTCATGTTCTTCCTCCTTCCTTCAGCCACATTCAATATACAGCACTGAACTTTAGATCTACAGGCCAACAGTAAAGTTGCCCCACACTGTAAAATATATATATGTATATATATATTTCTTTCTAATTACTCCCAGGTTTAGCCTTCATATCTTTTAGCCTTCTAAAAAAAAATCTCTTAATTTTTTCCATACTGGTTATCTGTGCCTTCCTATGGAACAGGCTTTAACAAACTAAATTTGCAGGAAAAAAAATGTCTTGTGGTATGCATGCACATGCACAGTTCCTGGAGCTTTTGTATCTGCCTAAGTCTCAAACCCAGGAGTCGGGAGAGGCTGGATAGTGGCTTGTTTCATAGTTAAGTTCACTATAGGGACGAGCAGCTGAATAGAAGTCGACGTAGTTGCCAGTTGACTTTAGTCCCAGGTGCATGTTGTATTCACTTGCAGGTGGACGATGATGCACTTGGTCCTCAAAGAAGGACTCATCATAGTTTCTTGTTGAATTCTGAAATGGTTGATATGGTTCATAATCTTTTCTGCTGGGCTCCTGTGGAACTGGCTGTGTTGAAACCTGAAAGACAGCCACACCACAGCTTGTTAGATACAACTTATTGCGGGCAACAGGACGGAAGGAGTAAATCTTACTTATGTTCATTGTACTTGAAATACAAAGCTGCAATTAATTCCACAGCTCTGCCTTGTCATATTATTTCCTTATGTGCAGTACTATTATTATTATTATTATTATGTAATATTTAATATAATGGCTGCCAAAGATGCTGCGTTATGTCAAAAGTAATTAAACCAGCATAGCTAATAGTTACTTTCATAGCTACAATCTGTGTATAACTTGCAGCTATATAATGCAAAGATTGGTAACCAAAACTGAGCCTTGAAAAATTTGAATGGAAGCAACATACACTCCAAAAACGCTAAACATTTTGTAGCTGTCTTTGACAGAAGTGAGATTTAGGGGGCAGGTGACACCATACCCTTAAGAACCATACAGTCTTCAGGACAGTGATATGAGAAAATGTCAAGAAAAGTGCCCTGAAATGGGTTCTTGTGCTACTGTTAAGCAGAACCATCTTACCACCTCCTCAACACTTCAAGTTGACAATCTTGTGTTGTTGTACATTCCAGCTAGTTGCCTTGAAGCTGAAATGTTTATGATAAGCAGAAAAAAAAAATCTCAGATGGTTCCCTAACCTAACGTTGCCATAAAACTTTTTTCACGCAGCCCTAGTGAATCTCTGTTTTTATAGTTGGGACTTTATTAAAATCTGGAATGTATAAACAGATGCTGACTATCTTAGGAGACTATATTTCATTTTATGCCACCTCTATAAGTTTGGGAAGACCTTGTGACTGCAAAATGATGTAGCCTGTCAATCCTCGCAAAGTCGTCACTGGGAATATTGATTCTCAGACACTGATGTCAGAAGACTTTGAGGATCCTGCTGACTCTGCAAGAGTCTGCTCCAAGACGACAGGAACAGTTGCACTGCTATGGCCTAAACTCTGCAATATTTGTTCAAAACATGTCTGTATTGGACTCTATGCACACAGTACAAAAGATTGCTTAAGTTCACTACCTTTAACAGTCCCACGAGTGATCTTACGAGGTTGGGCCTAATATTAGAACTGCACAAGTGAGTATAACTGCTCTAATTTCTATTTCTAGTACTACTATCAAGGTGTACAGGACCTTCAGGACCTCCATTTCATCTCATGTATTCAAACACAGGTGTTTAATTTGAGCATAGGAGAAAAAATCTACAGGAAGAAGTCTCTTTGTATGTGATTTTTTTAATTTGTGATATTTTTCTTCATTTCCATATAAGATGCTGCACTGGTCTTTTGCCATCTGGAACAGTAACATTTTAGTCTCTGTACTTACCTGGTTATGTTTGATATCTTCAGCAGGCGCACCATACGAATTCCTGTACAAAGTTGAGATTCCAGTGTTCTGAGCTGGAGAGAGAAAAAAAGGAAGGAAAAAGCAGGTTTACCAAACATACCTCTTTGGCCTCAAAGGGAATTCTTAAGGCTTCATTAAATACATCATACAATGTCTGTTTCCCACACACCAAAGTCTTTAAAAGCATTGGCAGAGTTCTCTTTTCCTCCCACTAGACAGTCATCATGTTTGTTTTGGTGCGCATACATGTCCTGGGTATACATTTATTAATGGTAACAGGCTCTATGTCACGTTCATATCAATCTTGGGTGCTTCATATTTATAAATCAACAAAATAATTTCATATACAGCTATCATTCAATAATATATTTCAGATTAGAGATGGGATTCTATATTACACATATACTAAACAGGTAACACTTGTAAATATTGAGATGGAGAAACATTTCAGTTCTTTCAGTTCTTTCACTTCAGTTGGATGATGTGGATTACTAATTATTAATTAATATAGTAGTGATTTTACTACTTCATGAAATTATTCATGCAAAAAGTGATTAAATGCAAGTGAAAAAGGAGTTAGGCAAAAAGTAATATGTAGCTATACTGAAGAGGTCTGGCCAAGGAGGTCTCAAATCCACAACTACTATTACTGCTGTCACTTTCTCCTCAGATATCCTACTACTGAAATGCACAGACAAAACTGAGATAAGAGTTTGAAATGCAAAATAATTCTAAAGACAAGGAGGATAAAAATGTATAGTTTTGCAAAAATTTATTTCCCACTCTGTCCCAAAAAAACCCTCACAAAAAGCTGAGTTTTCCTTGCAAAGTTGACTCCACTGATCACTGTGATTTGGCTATCTAGCTGAAGCTTACTTTGCTGGTAGTACTTGAAAGGTTGTAGCTATTTCTCATAGTTGAAAGACCATGAAGGCAGCCTTTTGTGTGGCTGCTGCACACTATTAATGCATTATTAACTTTCCAGACATTATAACCAAAGAATGGATGCTGTCATGAGGACTCTTACTACAAAAGCACAGGCCTGAAAGTAAAAATTCAATAGCTGTCAATCAGAGTCATCAACTGAAACACATTGATCATGACTTCTCTTATGCCTTTGCAATGGTATAAAACCTGGAGGTACCTATGGGGGCATGGACTGAGCATCAGAGCTGAAAGCTGGATATGGGATCCATGCTAGCCATATCACTTAGAAGAACCACAGTTACTGCAGGTATAAACAGTCTTTTTCCTTTGGCAATGTGCTAGCATGGGCCCCTACATGTAAAACTGCCTCTACCTTTCCCCTCATCTCTGCACCCCTTCTGGAGAAAGGAATGGCACGGCCTTCAGTCAAAGTTGACTGGAATATGCCAATTTTGATCTTCACACCTGCGATTCCACGTTGAGGGCATAATTTTTGTCAGCACTGTTCCATGTTGTTTCTTTTCAGATCTCAGATGATGTTGTTAAAGATCTCCAGCATGTTTGTGAAAACAGGATAAAAGACACGGCTTATATGGTGGAGTGATAAGCTCTAACAGCTGGAAAAAGAGATTTTTCACTTCATAACCATTAACTGATAGGGGTGAAAAAAACCTCTTGTCTCTTGAAGGGCTGGATGCAATTACTAAAAAAAGTGCATAGTCCTATGTAGGAAATGGAGAAGATCTCTGGAGGCCATTGGTATTTAGGAGTTCACATCAGCATTGCTCTTTCTGGTGCATCTCACGACAGCATGACTATCAGTAGTACTGCCAGGTCTTTCCTTGATATAATTGCTTTAATGCTTTTCTTCCTGCTTTTCTTACTTGCCCCACAAAGTGCTAATAGAAGTTGGGTTATACAAATTCCTCTTCTCGTGATCTAAAGATACCCATTTTGTGAAGTCCTAGTTCTTGAAAAAAGATGAAAGTGACTTTCAGTGTGTTGGACTGCCACAGATAGAGGAAGAACTTGTAACCACCTTGTTTTCATGGACATAAATGGCAAGATGAGCAGGTTTGACGTTTCACACAGGCAAATTTCTAGTCAGACATGACTTAATGTATTCAGTCCAGACAGGGTAACATTGTTGTTTGATGTCAAGAGTAAAAGACTGGTATAAGGTGCAACATCTGAGAGTTTTACAAAGAATCTGATGAAAAACAGCAAACTTGACCCATGCTAATTTGTTTGTTGTTACTGTAGGCAATCAGAGAGACTTTAAGAGGAGGGTCATGACCTTTCCATACAGATATATAAAAAGGCATATGGTACATATGTGCTGCTAACAGCCATGACTATCATAAAACCAGAAATAGTACAGAGTTGCTGCATAGCTGTCCAATGCACTCCTGTGACATTTGCACTGATACGCTCACAAATGTCACATGCCGGATGGAAGATTCATGGTCTCCCAGATCACATATTCTGCAAAGGAAAATGGATAACATCAACTTAAGAAAATTGCTGCAAGCTCCGTGTTGCTGATTTCACTGCAGTGATGTGGATGCAAATTCACAAGTTTACAACCTAGTATTCTTTTCCTAATGTAATAAAAACAATGAGACATAAAGTGCTTGAAAATAAATGCCAAGAGTTCAAGAATAAGAAATCTGGGCTTAGGCTTAGCTTGGAGGTTGACATAATTCTGTTTCTGGAGAAAATGTAAGTGAAGCAATGTAGCTGCCAGCAGTGCATGCAGCCCTGCTCCAGTACCTGCTTCTGAATATGCAGGTGGCATCCCTGGGAACTCCATTTCTGCTCTGCCGTGCTTGTGAGTAGTTGACTCTTGCTGCTCAAAAGCAGAGAGTAGATATAAAAGAGAGAACGAGCTAGATGAATAGGCAGATATTGTGTGGTTAGTATCTGATTTGCCCCATTAATATTGTATATGTACCATCATAATAAAGTTGTAAAACAGACAGAAAGAGAGGCTAATGAAATAATTTTCTTTTTAAAGCATGGCAAGAGAAGGAAAAGGAGTAAAACAAGTAAGAGGTGGAGATTTTCTTGCAGCCACACTTCTTTGCAGAGATGTGAGAACTGTAGCTGCAGATGAAATTAACTGAGCAGTGATCAGTGTGAGTGTTTATGTATATATTTTATGCAGTATCTAAATATCTGTACATGATAGTACTGAAGACATATCTTTTACAAGGCAAGATTGAGAGAGTCCTAAAATGAGTACTGTTATCAACCTGCAGTACTTTGTGGTTGCATTGCATAAAGAACATTACAGAAAAATACCTTTCTTTCTTTCCCCTGGGCAGTTTTCAAGGTGATATACATTAAAAAAAAGTCATATAGTTCCTCACAGCAGTCTTCTTTAAAGCTGAAAACAGCTTTGAAAATTATGTTACTTGGTAGTTTATGTGATAAAAATGTCACTGACCAAAGTCATCCTCATATGTCCCAGTCACTTGATTCATGGTGTAACATTCAGCTTTCAAATTTTGTAAGTATTTATTCTAAACACATTTACAGACAGTTTGAAATAACAAGACACTAGGCTTTTGCCCTCAGAAACAAAAACTGATAACAAGAAAGGAAAGCTCAGCTGGCCAGGTAGTCATCCTCCTCTGGTATTGCATAACCTGCTTTTTCTGCTATAAGCAGCAGGTGTCCATTTTATACAATTTATTTCAAGACAGTAAAGGAAAATACTTCTGTGCCTCACAAATCTTAGGCAACAGAAATCATTGACTGTCACTATCACTGGCACCTTCCTGCACAGTGAAAAATGATGTAAGGTCATGAAAAAGGTTACAGCGTATTATTGTTTCTTAAAGTAATAATAAGTTCAAGTAGCCTGAGCACCTGTAGCTATTGTAACACTCAGTGGTGGTTGTTTGTGTTCTCAGTGTGCAGGGACTTGCCAGTAAGTTTAAATAACAAAAGTACTGATGGTTGATTCTTTGCAACCAAAAGAAAAATAAACTAATCAGAAGGCTTTTCTGCAGCTGGAAGTGAAGACACAGTGTGCAGACTATGACGCACATATTAGTTCAGTGAGGGAACTAAGAAAGTAAAAGAAACTTCAAAGGAGTCCCATGACAGTATAGAGGAACCTTATCTTCCCTGTTCTGAAAGAAAACACCATGGTACAAATAACATTATCACATGCATGTATAGTTCCCATTTTTTTTTAACAGAATATAACAGTTTTTGTGTTAAAAATATACTTAAGGTGACAAAATTTTATTATTGCTTATTATTATGTACAGAGAGGAGAAAATGGACAGTAAATATAAAAGGCCTCATAAACCTGTGAAGAGAGCAATGAGAACTTTGATATTGTGTCTCTAGTTTTTTAGCTATCCCTGTGAAATCAATATAAGTTATCATCTTCAGCTAAACTGTTTACTTCATAGTTTCTTCATTTTTCCCAGAGGTTTCCTGACAACTCCCCACAACGGCAGGAAGCCAACATTTCTACTTTGAAAATCCATCAAAAAACCTTCATTTCAGTCCCAGTCAAGAGGTCATAAAATTTTTGAACTATAAACTGAGAAGAGCTTTGGAGAAGAGCATGGAGATAGTCACGGATAAATTGGAACTAGAGCTGTGGCTCTACATTCTGTGTAAATCCATAAGTCAAAGAAAGCTCTGTGTAATACATCAGCTTGGCAAAAAAATAGGAGAGCAGATCAAAATAAGTATATGCCAGGTGAAACCTGAAAAAACATTCATCTAAGTCCCATCTAAGTGGATGTATCAGCTGCAATGCACTGTCTGATGTACAAAAGGAAACACAGGCATTGCAATGAACTTGCTACATGAACTTATATGAGGCCATTCAGTAAAGTAAAAATCTCACAAAAATCACAAACACTGATTTTATATTGTTCTTTAATCAAATATTTATTATTTAATGAGCTACAATTAAGTTACACAAATGTCATGTTGAATGTTGATGAGCAAGACTCCTTCTGTGATTTTCTTTTGTTCTTAAAACGGCGCTTAATTTGAGCTTAGGCCAAATGAGTAGAGATTTGGTGATCTGAAAGAGAGAGAGAATTATTTGTTAATTCCATATTTATTTGTACATTTGTCCTGTAAAATTGTGAAATATTATTATACTTTTTGGTTCAAATTTGGTGGGTTTTTTTTCCTCACTGAGCTCAGTAGCTGGAAAGACAGCTGATAGCTGAGTACGATCCTGAGAGTTTCAAGTTTCCTTATTAAAGCCCATCCAAAAAATCAGTAGAAACAGACAAATACAAGGCAATATTAAAGGAAAACACAATGCAAAAATCAAAGGGGAGCAAAGGTTGCTGGGGTAGTAGAAACCCCATAATCTGAAAATTATACTGTAAGAGAAAGGAAACAAGAGAAACAGGAATGGGAGAAGAAAAACCCTACAGTAAAAAAAAACAAAATGAAAAGGGATGGGGAAAATGAAAAGCTCATTTTTTAATGTATGGAGCGAGACAAGACTATCGGCAAGGAACACAAATTTTCAACATGGAGACGCTGCTTTTGGTGAACGTTCTGACATAATTTGCTAGTCTGATTTTGCAAATACAGCTAGAAAAAATACTAATGTTTCTGCGTTTTGCTTTTCAGCCTGATGCCGTTATTCCTGAGATTCACCCTTCATGGGTCCTGGACAAATGGCTGAAAGAACTGCAGTCCTGTCCTCCATAATCAGGCAAGTAAGGACCACTCAAGTGTTTTAGAGAACTACCTTGTGTAGTGACTGTGAAACACTCAAAACATTACAGATACATAAAAAGCAGTACCTTGACTGAATCTTCTGCACTCTCCCGTAGTACCCTGCAGAAGCCACTCAGGACACTCCTAATTCCTGCGTTTTTCAGATGCTCTTAACTGTCATTCCTCTCTTCAGATTTTCACTTTCCTGGTAATTAATGTTCCATATTGCATTTTCACACAAATTCCAAGTCTGGCCTTCAGGTTCTGCTTGCACAATCACATATGACACAGTAGATGCAGTATGAGTATCTTCATATCCTGAATACAGTTGGAAGCTAGTATGGATGGTTTGATGCTGAATCAGAGTGTTCCTGGTGTCCCCAGTGAGCGGAGGAACACAAAGCAAGCCCATTTGGCCTCTGTGGAAGACCTCTGCAGAGGGCTTGGGAGAAGGTAACAGGCATTCAGAAAGTGCAGACTGACTCCTCACTGTTTTTTTTTTGCTTGCCCTGAAGCAGCATTTGGAGAAGAGGACACCATGATGCCCGGCAGTATACAAATGTAACAAAATGTTCAATAATGATTATATAAGCCTTGTACAGTGGTGATGGAGATGAACATGCATTTTACAAGAGAATTCATGAAGAGGTGCAGCACTCGGCAAAGCACTCAAAATTTTCTAATTACTGAAATTCTAACAGGTTAATGAGCTCACCAGGGAAAAGAAGCCTTCAATGAAGCCTGCAACAAATGCCACAACATACAGAGAAAATTACTGCATTTAAATCAGCCCAGCTGAGAAAGTAACATGGATAGACTTTATGAACAGGCACAAATTTCCGAGAAATGACTGATATACAAAATAAGCTAACTGATCCCAGAAAGCCATTTCTTGCAAAAGACAGATGCACATGCTCAACTATACCAGTTAATTCAAGTGATCAACCAATTTCCTTCTGAAATGAAAACAAATATAAAACTGAAAAAGGTAAGTAAAATTTTGTTTAGAGCCTCTCTTCTGTGAAGAAACACAGTCTTTACACATAATTTTCACATTGCATTGTATTCATTCAAATATATCTTCACTTGTATTTCTCAAGGTGGTTAAAACTTTGGAATCAACCAAAGCAGGTTGACTCTTTTCCAGTAAACCCAGCCAAGCCTATAAAATCGGTGGTCTATCACAGATGATTTCTACACATGCTATGCAAGCATAATCTCACCTGTCATGGTGTCTTTCCTAGAAGTGTGTTCTCCCTTGTTTCCATGGTAAGTGGCATTGGTTCCAGTTGATTCATAGTCTGTTTTTCTTTCTTTTAGGCTGATCATTTCCCGAGGTGAGGCTGGGGCACTTGCTGGATGACAAAAAATGGATTTTCTTTTTTTTTAACCATGTATGACTGAATGTAATGTTTAACTTTACAGCAAACATTTTAGCAAAGTTAGTAACTGTTAGCATTCTAACACAAAGCTCATTGAAGAAACACTACCACATTATGGAGGAAAAGAAAAGGTGGTGTTATTTCAAGTGCAAGGCAAATGTATTCATTGGACAATCAACTGCAAACATAATTTTCTCTCTGAATGTTTCATTTTTTTTTTTACTTATGCCGAATGTCTAAGACAATTATTATGATAAAAAGTACAACAATTTTTTTTTTCATTCTTTTGGTTTTCAATTTCTTTAACTTGTCAAAACTTTCTAGTACAGGCCCTTCAATTTTTTTGCTCAAAATGGTTACTTTATTTCTGTTGAAAAGACTGTTAACTTTCAACTGTGTGGAAAAACCCTTATAAAATGGGTTTTTCGCTTTTCTCTCGAAAATAAACAAACCAATTAAATTATTCCAATGGTGAAGGAAAGCAAAGAAAGGAAGGGTGTTTTTTTCATAGAAAAGATAAAGCAAAGAATATCTAACACTTTAAGGTAACTCAATTTCTGTCTTTAAATATCTATATATGAACAACTGTCATTAAAACAACAACTGCTACTTTAACCTATTTTTATTAAAACAAAATCCTTTATCATCTGTTCTCATGGTATGGCTAAAAGGAGGAAAGTAGAGGTGGTGAGGAGGAGAATTGGGTTTTATACTCGAGTCTCAAGCACTGGAGAATGTGAAGGTGATCAGTGGCACTGATCATGAAGCCTTAGAGCTTAAGATGCTTAGGAATAGGAAAAACGTAAAGGTAAAAAATAATGGCTTTCAAAACTGACTTCAATCTATTTAGGTGTTGGTAGATAAAGTGCACTTTCCCTGTTGTGGAGGGCAGGAGAAGGAGTACAGGGTGAGTGGCAGAGCCCCCCCAGAGCCTTGTGAGGGCACAGTTGCACAAAATAACTAAAATGCTGGTTCTTCCACACGCTCTCCTGTTTCCACACAGATATTTGCTGTGTCAAAAGAACCTCAAAAGCAGTAACAATGTCTTTGTTTAAAAAGAAGGAAAAGAAAATATTTAAAAATGTGAGACAAACTCATTTGTGAAGCTTGACCCTGAATTGCATTTTTCAGCATCTCTAAACTCTATTGCATTTTTAGTTAAGAAACGGTGAAGCGTTTGTACTAAACTAAGGAGTAGGGAATCACCAGAAATGTTGAATTCTGCTTCAATTGGTTATGCTGGCCCTGGTCTCTATATTTACAGAGCAAATGCAGGAGATATTTTTTTATGAAGCCATTAGAACTGAGGATTGCTTTTAAACTGTTTGTCAATAGTGCTGTAAATCTAAAGCTGATAATCCAGCAGATATAAAGAAACATGACATTAAACTACCAAATCAGCTCATGGCAGCTTGAGTCCAATGGTGAACAAACCAGAATGCAAACCTTGAAAAAGCTGCTAACAGAGGGACACATTTTGTTTCACAGACTCTGGTAATGATTTTAAACACTGGTGTTTTGAACAAAATTGACTGATACATAAAAAACCATCTCTCTCTGTTCCCTGTGGGAATTATCTCTCTCTTCCCATGGGAGGACAACTGCTTTTAGGCAAGCCTTAAGATGCAGAAGCACCCTCTTTCAGAGTTTTTACTGGAAGCAAACATAAAATCATTGGTTGATACTAGACTGAAAACTGATATCATGGTTTTCTCTCTTATTCTTAAAGGGCACAGAAAAGAATACAGAACTTGCTACTCAAGTTTAAGCACGTTATCACCAAGTCCTACGCATGGATGGGATGTTGTGAGTTCAGTTACTTCAACTCTTTACCCCAAGATAGGATCCAGTATAACAAAATAATTCTTGACAGATTTTAATCTAAAGCTAAAGATCTCTAATGACAGAGATCACATAACTGCTCCAAGCAGTCTGTTCCAGTGCTTTCTTTCCCCACTGTTAGGAAATGTTCCCTGATGTCTAGCCTGACTCCTTGCTGCTCATTATTTCCATTTGTCTGCTATGGAAGTAGAAAAAAGTTCATGCCGTTTCTCTTCATAGCTAGCTCTTATGTGCTTGAATACTTGGTGTGTACCTCTTCCCACTGTCCCCATCTCATGCCTCTTTTACTTGAGCTAAACAGTTACAGTCCATTCAGTGCATTTTCATATCCTTATTTCTCCATCTTCCAATTCATGTGTGCAACTGACAAAAATCCCTAAATCATTTCTAAAGAACTTTCATCTAGCCAGATATTCTCCTTTATTTGTAAAGGACTGGATCTTTTTTTTTTCCCCTTTGAACATTATCTCAAATTTCTCAGGATCAGACTGAATTTCAATAATGCCCTTCAAAGAACATGAGTTTCTCCCAGGTCTATGCCACCCACAAAGCTAACAGGCATCTTTTGCATATTATCTGGGTCATTACTGAAAGCACTGAAAAGTACAGGACCCAGGCAAACCTCCAAGCAAAGCATTCTTCTATTTTGGCAATAAGCAATCCCCTTTCTTTGTGAATGGTTTTCAATCATGCCATTACCACACATGACATTTTGTGAACTGTTCGCTAGCTTGGCCTAGCTTACCTATAAAAACATTTTGTGAAAGAGTCTTACTGATTACAGTAAATTGTACTTACTGACTATTCTTTCCACAAAGTGCTTTAAGTATGTTGTAGCAGGCAGTCAGGTGGATTTAACAAGAACAAACGGAATTGAATCAATGTTTTTATTTGATATGGATACTACCAGACACACAGTAACTTATATTACTATTTAAAAATAGATACTCCCAGAGTTAAGTAGTCTCTTATGTTCATACTACCGCTGAGGTGCTCAGGTTGTGATTATTTGTTCCACCAATTTTCTAGAATGACACTGAGCTGATCAGTATCTAATGATATGGTCTCTTCTTCCTGTACAACCAGCCACTATGATTTGTCCTTTCCCAGTCTTATAATAACTGATGATGGCAGTAAAATTTCATCCAAAAATTTAGAGCAACAGAAGTGAGGAGACAGTTCTGGCAAGAGACAAAACTAAGATGTCAGGGCCAAAAAATTTCAAGTACCTTGCACTTACAGTCAAAATGAGATTCTGGAGAAGAAAAAAAAGGAGCAGCAGTCCTTTATGGACTTGTGCAATGACAGATTTTGAAAACAAAATAGTAGCTTTCATTGTACATCTGGCTACATTTTCATATCTCCTCCGTGATTGTCCTGCAGGACTAAAATGCAGCTTCTAGACAATTAACAAAACAATTTCCTTAAAACCCAAACTATGTCACAGTGCTAATGACAATAATAAGTTTGACCAATTCTAATCCTAAACTCTTGCTGTACCTTTGGAATGACAGCATTTGATTGAACAGGTATCAATAAAGCACACTGAAAGATAGACAGTTACACTCTGTTTATGTTAAAAGTTTTTCACTGTGAATGGCTTTATCTAACCAAGGTTATGTTCTACCTTAGAATAAGCTGAGGGAAAGATTACCTGATTTCTGAATAGAAAAATTAATTTACACTTTTGCAGTAGTTGATAATAGCTGGTGTAAATATGCCGTCAATTTTATGTGAAGACCTGTAGCCAAACTTTTGTGAAACTTACATTTCTTACTTTCTTCTTTCTTCTTCAGAGAAACTTACTTTCTTCAGAGAAGAAAGTGCTGGCCACCAAAGTTCTTGGCACAGTCAAGTGGTTCAATGTCAGAAATGGATATGGCTTTACCAACAGAAATTATACCAAAGAAGATGTGTTTGTTCATCAGATGGTGATAAAGAAAAACGTATGTATGCACACATACCCAGAATAAAAGCTGACAAAAAGTAATGTGAATCCTTCAACTTCTGCTAAGTGTTCAGAATGGTCATAAACAACACAGTGGCTTTCATGACTAGCAAAGTGAGCTACAGAATTTCCTTGTGCTACTAATGGACACCATTGCCCTGAGATGTAGTCAGGTAATCCTGAAAGCACTTCCTGACAATTCATAATCAAAAGTTCTGGAATATTCTTTCTGCTGTAAAACTTTAAAAGGTGCTAATAATAAAATAAAATAGAATGAAATTTTAAAAGATCCTGTTTTGAACAGATAATTTGGATAAGAGTAAAGAATATGCTTTGTGCCCTCCCATCACAGTCAACAACAAATCCAGATGTCAGTGATGTGGCTGAAAGAAGGAAAACGACAGTGATGGATTACCTCTGTCTTTACTTCAGTCCTGAAAACCTGCTCTTACCTGAGCGGTTGTTAGGAGACATGCGCACGGGAGAGATGGAGGGCGTGCGTGATGAAGAGTACGGTCTTTGCCGATCCCTTTCTATTGTTGAAGATGAGGCTACAAAGTGATACTGTGACCATCCGTCCTGCAACATCAAACATCGGGACAACAGTCAGTGAAAATGCCATACAGTTTCCCATTTCAAGCACAGAGTATTTTCCGCTAATATTTTCAGTATGCATACACAAGTAGATTACTATCTTCTTCCTGCCACTGGGTGGCAAATATTCTTAGCGGTGCAGGATTCGATGTGCTGACTGTACTGACACAGCAGGAGAAAAAAAAAGCAGAAAGTCCTATAAAGCAACACATTTCAGAAATACTCCGGTTCTTAACAACTTTTTAGGCTAGTGTTTAATAGTTTTGTCTTTTTCCATGCTTCTATTTTCACACTGCAAATGGCATTCTGGTTTGAAATCACTTCCAGTTTATAAGGAAGTTTTGGTGTAAGTAAATAGGGAAGCCCCAGGATTACCAAACTGGACATCTATTTAGTTTAATTATACTAACTGCCCATTTTTCACATATAAGGGAAAAAGAATCAATGCAATTTTCCTTGTTGCAGTTTTCTCAAAGGTGTGCAGAAAATTCTATTCCTTCTATTTAAGAGTATTGTAATGGTGGTGTATTAAAAAAAAAAAAGAAACAATACAAATACTAGAAACAGCTAGTTCAGAAACAAAAAAGGAGAGTTTGAATAATTCATGTTTTATTCCTGTACCATAATATAACTCAATAATCCAAAATAACACATTTTAAAAAAGATATTATAGTCTGAAACTATTACAAGAAAATAAACTGACTTTTCCTAGTGTTCTTATTAAATGACAACATTTCAAATACCTTCCGTATTGATAAGATAGCAACTGTCTTTATCACTGCTTAATGTTAAATCTAAATCAGTAACACTGAGTTTTCCCATTCTCACACAGTGTTAAAAATGCTTGCTTTCTGTTGAGCTCAGTGGAAATTGAATCAAGCACCTGGCATGGTGCTAAACCAAAGTTTTGTAATGAAATACTTAATAAAAAAATAAACACAATAGGATATTATTATTACAGAACAATAATTCACTGTTGGGGTAGTAAAGAATATTACCACCCCATACCTCAGGTACTCCAGACATCCAGCAGTGAATCCCACCCCTTCCCATGCTCTGCCTTTGCTCAAGGCATCTCTCTGACTGTTCTTTTCTGTCCACAGAAACCATGGGCACCTAGCTCTCAGAACTGCAAGAGAAAGTGGCTTGAAAATCCCCTTTCCACTAAACTCTTAGGAAAGAGAACTCAGCAAGGGTGTGACACAGCAGGAGGAGAAGAGATACTCATGCTTGTTATAGAGGGAAATGCTGTAAGTAAATTATGATAGACAGAGGTGACACTTAACTACAGATTCTGAATGTCCATACTCCTCACATAATGCATTTGTACAAACACGTGTATCTCAGGTGTAATTTCAAAGGGAAAAATAAGGAAGATTGAAATCTCGGCTAGGCTTTTACAGTACAGTCAAGACTTTCCCTAGAATCAATAGTGACTGTCCACTGAGAGATCATTCATGTTTAGGACACCGGCTTAAACCAAAATTTTCTACTTCCAATCTTTCCAATTCATATCCAGTCTCCAAAAAGCAGTTTCTATACAAACCACATCCTCCAAGTTGGAGGGAGCATCCATGAGAATGTAAGAAAAATAACTGTAAAGCCCTAAATTTATAAATCAATTTGGAAACTACTAGAAAAATGTCCATAAATATAAATATATACACTATATATAATATGTACGTATTTATAAAATACATGCATTTTTAAAGAAGACATAAAAGTTTATAGCAATAATTATAATGAGTAGCTTAAGTCCAATAATCTTATCCAAGCATTAAGACTCCAAGGAACATACTTAGCATTATTTCTGTATCTCCAGTTCATCATAACTTGTGTGGTGATCTCTCTATTATAAAACTGAAGGAGCAAACATGTGAAAAGCCCATGCCTTTATTCTGCTGAAGAAAAATGGTTCCCTTCTTTCTCCTTCTCCAGGGTCAGAATTTCTTACCAGAAAGGTGACTCTCTATAATTCACTCTGTTGTAGTTTTCTGATCATTTATTTTCTTTTAAACAGACTGAAGAGGAGGAAGAAGTGGACAGACTTTCGATCTGATAAAAGGAAAAGGAATACACTACTTATTACTCTCTGCCTGCAAAAGGAGAAGACATCAGCCATGCTTACATAGTGCAAGTCAAAAATGCTTCCAGCTTTGTGGATCTGGATACATCCATGGCAATGTATACTCTCCTTTCTCACTCTTGCTTCCCCCAAATAAAACCCTGGCATGTGGTTCAAAAAAAAAAGTGATGTGAAACTTCCCTTAAACCTTTCTTACTGTTGTCTATTCCATCTGTATTTTTACATTAATACCTGCAGCCTGGTTCTGATGGGAAGCGGATGAAATAAATCCCTGATACCTGCACTGTCCCACGGACTCTACAGGAATAGCATATGGCACCACTGCTGTTCTGCAGAATATCAAAAGTACTTTGTCAACATTGCTTCCTCAGAAACAGCATTGCAAGGTGCTTCAGCAGCAAGGGAGCTGTATTTGGGATGATAGCACGAGCACTCTTTTGTGCAGCCAATGTTTTTCCTTCTTTCTTCCCTGTAAATTTTCATTTTTTTTCTCTCTGCTGACAGTAGTGCTTATAATGAGGTCTTGAAATAAATTCTACTACAAAATCCCAAGTTGGCAAGCCAAACCAGCTCCATAAAACCAGTGAGGCAAACAATAAACTCTAACACAAGGACTGTGGTGACTTAGTATTGCTTTTGACTAAACAAAGCATACTACTATCATAGTACAACAACCTTCATGGTGTTTTTCAACAGATTGTGGGTAGCTCACAGTATTTCAAAACCCCAATACTTTTAAGCTGTCTATCTTTAGATCTCTTCTGCTGCAAGGAACAATCTTCTTCCCATGTAAAGGTAAATAGTTTGTAACAAATTTATTAAAACTATTCCTGTCAACAACTCCAAAAGCTATTAGTGTTAAATATTGAAACTAATTTTTAAGAGCCTAAAGGGGGTATTTTCAATTTAGTGGCGATATAAATACCACCTGACATGATGGCTGCTTTCATTAGTTTGTTTCAGGTCTACTGCCTGTAATGAAATGTAATTAAATTGATTTGGGTACTTAAAGGTACAGTATATAGCAATGTCTTGTAAAGAAGAAAGCTAACTCCAGAGCATAGTATGTGAGACTGAATTTAAGAAACTAATTTACCAGCAAAATGTGATCTAGGAGAGGCAAAAGGATCTGACAAAGCAAAAAAATTCAATGCAATTCTGTCACAGTCTGGGTGCACTTGTTAACCAGTAGTAATTATTAATAGGTGAAAAGCTGCATGGATTAAATTTGGGAAAGGAGTTGAATGATCAGTGTAGGAAACAGAAGTGATATAGTAGTCTTACTGATTACCTTTTACCAGGCTTAAGGAATAAACAGGTTCTTTGTCTTCTTGATCAAGTTTAAATAATTTTATAAATAAATAATTTTCAACAGGACCATGGGAAAATAATTATTTTGTCAGGGTCACTAAACTTATTGTGCCAAACACCTATTGCATGTGTCTAATGAAAATACAATTTGTTTTTGTTTTCTTTTCTTGGAATGCTTTTTGTGTTTAAAATGTAGGGGGAAAGCCAACCAGTTTTCTATCGTGTTTCCAAAAATTTCAAATTTTCAGAACTCTGGTAGCTGAGTTTTTGATTTGAGGAGATGATTTGTGGAGGTGGATGGTGTCAGACATACCATTTTCTCACTTGTAGTACACTAACATTGTGAGGGCTGAATTAAATTAAGCCCTGATTGGAAGTGACACCATGTTAACCCAAGAGGGAACTGGTGCTCCTGCTGAAGAATTCACAGATGACAGAGGATCGAGGTGGCCAAGGAATGGTGGTGAAAGCAGGGATGGTGCGGTGCCTAGCCTGGATGACCTCATGGCATCCACTTAGAGAGAAACCCCACATCACAGGCATGCAGCAAAAATGAAAACAAGCCCTATGCTCTGACTGATTGTGTTGACCAGCTGCTTAGAAGACACTGATTTGAAAAGCACTGAGTGATCTAGAAAAGCTGTATGATGTATGATATCAGTATCTTTCTATGCTGAAGAGCACAATCTGCCCTGACTCCTGGCCACAGATGTCTTAACACTGTCAGAAAGACAGCTACTTCTTGCAAACAGAAAAAGCCTACTAAAGAGAAAAAATAAAAATGATGCAACAAATCCAATAAGAAAACAGCTAAACCTTGAAAAATTATAGAAAACATTGTGTCCTGCCTCCCTCGAGTTTACAACCACTCCAGTATGCAACTTCTTGCTTCAGGTCTGAACCTCCTGTGACCTGATTTAATACACATTTTACAGATGACTTGAAGCACAAAGGACCAAACTTGCTTTGTCATCCTACTTCCTTGCCTGTAAGCCAGCTTTTTACTGGTTCCAGGATATTAATTGTAGTAATAACTGCTCCTGTTATAAACTGTAGAAATGTGCAGTTTTGATAGGCAACCTCTTGCAGGAATCAGTGACTAGACCCACCATGATGTTAGAAGTAGGTGACACAGCAACAAGGCACAGTGCCTGTAAGTTTGTAACATAGGATCTATTCACTTTGAAACTCAGACAGACACTGCCCTGAGTTGCTGGTGGTGCTTCCTTCACAAGCTAAAGCACTGCTGTCAGGTTAAATGAAACATTCTGACTTGTGTGCACCAGTGTGACACTGTCTAGAGTAAAAGACAAATCTGATGTGAATTAAGTCAAGGCTCATCAGACTTACACAGGTCTGGGCAATTCTTCACTGGGAATTTGTTGTCACAACGCTAATAAGACATAGCAGAAATTAGAACTGGATCAAATAATCTACATACATTGGCATATGAAAATTATGTGTGTGACTTGACTGTAGTGAGCAATCTAAAATGGTCACAAGGTTGGGGTGATCCACGTACATATGTCATGAAGCATCTTAAACAGGATTTTTGAAATAATGCAGTTTAAATGTTCATCAGCAACCA